ATTACACTTAATAATTTTGACAAATTTTAATTTGATTTAACATTATGTGACTTCAAAACGTGTAATGGTGGTTTGTTTCGGTATGAATGCTTCTGTGCCTTTCAAAAAATGTTAATAATTCTTTTGTCGTTTTTAAATTATTAATAGATGGCAGCACGTATGGTACCTCTTGGACAGGCCATAATCTTTATACTAGTCGGCCATGGTTCATTTATGAAGTTCGAAACAATTGAATAGGATCAAATTTCATTAATTAAAATATATCCCTAACTTTTGACGCGCAGTTTATAATTCAGTTATTAAGTATATGGATTTCTTGTTGATTAATAATTCTTCATCTTCATAGGTATTCTGGCAGAAATTAAATAGTCAGAAATTAATTTTGAGGCCTCTACAAGCACGTTATGGAGGGTTATGAAAAACCCATATGGGATTTCGAGGGAAAAAAACATCAGATAATCGTAAGGCACTAGTCGAATCATATGACATAAGATTAAAACGAATCGAATTTGTTCGAAAAATAACCCAGTATAGGCAAGAAGGACGAACTATTGTATATGAAGACAAAACGTATATACATAGTAGTCACACCCAATCTAAAGACTGGGTTGATGACAAAAATTTGTCGTTGAAAAAACCAATTTCTAAAGGGCAAAGACTCATTATAGTTCACGCAGGCTATGAATCAGGATTTATTGAAAATGGACTACTTATATTTAAATCAGGTAAAAGATAATCCTTTGCAAATATCACATATCTATTGCATTTAAATTTTAGGGTCTAAATCAGGAGACTACCATAACGATATGAATTCTGCAAAATTTGAGAAGTGGATTCGATATCAGCTACTTCCAAACCTCCCGCCACGTTCGGTGCTTGTATTATACAACGCGTCATATCACAACGTCCGTGATACAAAGGATCCAACCTCTGCCTCCCGGAAAGCAGACATGATCGCATTTTTAAGACAAAATAAAATACCACACAACCCTCAAAACCTGAATTATACAATTTAGTGAAATTGTATAAAACCAAGAGTCCAGATTATCGTTTTGATAAACTATTAAAAGAGCACGGACATGACATTTTAAGGTTGCCCCCCTACAGTCCGGAATTCAATCCTATTGAAAAATTTGGGGTGTTGTAAAAACTGGGTGGCAACAAACAACACCACTTTTAAACTAAATGATGTGGAACGGCTGGCTCGAAAAAAATTCGCTGAATTATCCCCAGAAATATGGAGGAAAACCTGTGAAAAAGTACTGAAAATCGAAACCGACTTCATTCAAAAACAGCACGTTTTTGATGCTGCGCTCGAAAGTTTATCATTTACGGTCAACACGGGTTCTTCAGACGAAGATTGCGACAACAGTGATGATGACAGTAGTATGAGCGGTGTATACGTGCTTGAGGATGATTTAGACATTTTTGGAATGTAACAAATACAAAAATTTGTATATATATATTTGTATATAGATAATTAAAATTGTCATTGGAAAATTCTTTTTTTTTTATTATTTGGCTGTTGCATAAAACAGTTGCTTTACTTAGTTGATGTGACATAAATAAACGTCGATGTAAATGACAAAATTGAATAAAAAAGATTTAATTTGACGTACTATCAAGGCCAAAGAAATGGAAACACCTAAATTGCTCATGTCATCGATTTTTATTTAATTTTCCTATTGTACAATTTCTCTGTTATGTTGGCGTTAAAAGACGTCAGAAAATCAGATGCGTTCATTCTAAAGCAGACAGAAAATAAATTTAACAAATTAAATTCTATTTACTTTTACAGAAACTATAAATACTGGAAAATATCTAGTGGAAGAATGAACGAAATGACGAACACCATTAATAAATTTAATATTTTGTTGCTGCTCCATTTTTCCTTATTGCAGCATGTAATCTTCTATTCTTAGACAAGACCGTGGTCCTTACAGAGTTCTCATCAACATCGTGCCAAGCTTGTACTATTAATTTCCATAATTCATTTTTTGTCGTAGGTCTACTACGTCATAATTTTTTTTTTTTTTCATAAGAAAAGACCAAAAGTTTTCGACAGGGTTTAAGTCGGGACTTCTTGCAGGCCAGTCTAAGACATCTATTTCATTGTTTTCAATCCATTCTCTAACAATTCTGGCTCTGTGAATAGGACAATTGTCTTGTTGAAAAATGAAGTTATTTCCAGGAAATCTTTCTCTAGTAGTTGGCAGCATATCATTTAATATATTTCGGTAAACATCACCACTTCCGTTTTTGCAAGACTGGAAAGTCTTCTCGTCTGAGAAAACAACTCTATTCCAAAAATCGACGTCTCTGTCTAAGTATTGAAGAGCGAATCCGATTCTCCTTTCCTTATGTTCTTCAGTTAAAATTGGTTTTCTTGCTGCTACTCTATTGAACAACTCGGTAGTCATAACTCGTCGACGAGCATTTCCAATTGAACCTGGGAAGTTCACTTCTAGCCGCCCTTCGACTACAGATGAAAATGGTGATTGTTCCATATAATCAACCAGCATGCCATCTTCTTCTATACTGGTTATCTTTGGCCGTCCAGAGCCTACACGACGTTCGACCGTATTATGTTGGTTCCATTTTTTTAAATTTTAGAAATACAGCTGTAACTAACACCTATGTCAGCTGCAATCCGTCGCAATGACCACCCTTCTTCTAATTTCGCAATGATTCGAGTTTTTTGTTTGGTATTGAAGTGTCTGCGCATTTGTTTTTGTTCATTTTCACGAACTGACACTGGCAGTAAAATTTTTTGGGAAAAAATTGTTGCGCCTATGATTTTATAACATCGGAAAGACATTTCCACAAAATAAATTTGTGTTTCCATTTTTTTGGCTGTGATAGTACCACATAACATTGCCCCCAGATTCAATATCCAAAAGATACGCCACTGTCTAATAGTATCATCTATTCCCGCCAACTTACACGCGCAGATCTCTGACTCCGCCCATGTACCTTTTAGAGAAAAGCACTCTAACACTTGACAAGACTGCGGAGCTTGCAGATAAGATGGTCGAGATCTATATTAACAACTCACAGGAATCGCCGCCGAAACAACCGCAGCGAGTACAAGACCAACGAAAGTCACTCGAACTGAAGACACCATGCCTATGGAAGCAATACACAAACAGATCGTTACATTGACGGCGAGAGTAGAGAGTATCTGTTAATTAATTGTTATGTATTTTTTCGAATGGTCAAATTTAGGAAAACAGAGTTTTTGGTATGTTTATTTTCGTTTCATAAAAATCCTTATTTACGTTATTTTGAATTGAATAGTGGAAGAGTGATTATTAAGCGAAAATTATATGTACAAAGACGTGAAAAAGCAGTTGGTATGTTGGAGTATGGTTTGACGAAACAAGTCGAAATTGCTACAAAATTTAGGCCGGGGGCATATCTGGCGGAACTTCATCTGCGTAATTTAGAGCGCGGAATTTCAGCTTCAACCACCCCGCGACAAAACTATGCGGAAATTTCGCGAGGTGTCCGTGTCAGCTCTGCGCTGTTGGGGAAAAGACGTGTAGTTTTGTTTGAAAATGGATCCTCTTGAGTTAGTATGTATCTACGAAGCTCTAGAAAATCACGAAAAAGAAGAAAATATGGGGTACAGCCATTGTGTTTAAAACGGCTAAGCATTAGCCAGTTCAATTTTAATTTTATTAGTTTTAAGTTTAACCATAAGATTAGATTTTAGAGGAATTTCTCAACCATCTTGTATGGCAGTACAGTAATTCATATTTATAGAATGTTAAATTTGATAATCTCATAAACATTAATAATGTTGGGTACCCTTTTTTTAAAAGTTGCACTTTTCTGTTACTTGTTTCAGAGTATTTTCAGACTACGACCCTATTTCACCTGGAGTTTGATATTGATTACACTTGGTAACGACCAATTTGTTTGAGTTTTTTTTTTTTTTTTGGATGTTTTGTATGGAATAAAATGTACATTGGACCTAAGCAAGTCAAATGCAAAATTCAGCATAACACAAAGGTTTGACAGGCGTACGAATTATATTTTGGAATGCCCATTCAAAATCAAGATGTGTCGTGGGCGCCTCATATTTACAGCGGCGCTTGTCGCTCGAATCTTGAGGCCTGGATGCGTGGCACTAGAAAAGGTATGCCTTTTCGGATCCCTAGAATTTGGAAAAAGCCTTCAAATCACCAAAACGACTGTTATTTCTGCATGGTCAACATCCAGCATTCAAAAAGTCAACTGATAGAACAAAAGTAATTTATTCCATCTTCAAATGCTCCTGTCCCACAAGATGAATTGCCATGCCCAGTTCTCTCCCAAAATTCCGACTATGCATCGACTGATACTCTAGTTGTTAGTGGAGAGGATTCTGATGAGGACTTTTTATCTGACAATGAACCTCATTACTTAACCCTTTCGGTCACTGTGCCCACTGTAGTGGACGCAGTTTTTATTTTTTTTTATTATAACTTGAAGATAACTGTATGCTGTTTTTGGCATTCCAGCATGTAACCCACTGCTTTACCAACCTTAGTAAATTTTTAGCACCCTCTAGTAGCAAGTTGCTTAAAATTATAAATAAAACTTGTCGGTATAACAGCTGACTTCTTCGTTTACTTAGCTGCTCTACAGTTTTAATTTTTTTTTCCATATTATTGTTTACCCCACGACCTGCTGCATTAGTTAATACGGCCTGTTCATAACTGTAGTTCCACTGTATCCTCCGATTTTAGTGAGGGCGCTAGCGGATGGGCGCATTTTAGGAATTTTTATTATTTTATGTTGGTTGGATGGTACTCACTGTTTTTTGGTGTCAAATCTGACATTCAAATTAAAATTCTCTTGAGAATCTTTAAGCGCGCTGAAAATAGTTATTTGTGAAGTCCATTTGTTATTGTTCGTTGTTTTTCTTTTTGATTTGCAGTTTTCGTTCCTTTTTTATTTGTTTTGTGGTGTTTCGTTCCCATTTTGTCGTTTCAACTCGTTTAGTGTTTCGTTATTATTTCATAGTTTAATTAGTGTTGGTTTTTGTTGTTTTGTTCCTATTTGGTCGTTTAACTTCAGTTAGTGGTTCGTTATTATTACATAGTTTAAGTTGTTACGTTAATTTTACTGGGACGAAAATGCGGTTCCACAAAAAATGCATTGTGCCCCAGTGCCCTGCCAAGTACTCAAAGTCTTTCCATCAGTTTCCCTCTGAGCCCCTCTTAAGAGAAAAATGGCTACATAAAGTAGAGAAGTTTTGTTGTAAGAAAAGCTTATTGAACACTTATTTTTTTAATACTAAATATTAATTATTATAGCTCCAACGCAGCAGATCGTCAGTCAGTACTCAACCATTTGCAATTTGCACTTTAAACCCACAGATTTTAAGTTTGCAGCAAATGGTAGTAAACGCTTGCAAAAAAATGCAGTTCCAACAGTTTTTCATGTATATTTATTTACATTTTAAACTTAACAGAAATAAAATTATAGTTTTTATAGGGTGATGATGCTTATTACGCATCCACACACGAATCCTTCGTTGCCCTTGCCCAGTCTTCTACTCCTTTAAATATCAAGCCCTCATCATCCATTATTCCTGTAATTACAATCCTTACAACTGTGAAAATATAAGCGAACAGTACATTAATAACGTAATTTAAAGTCAGGAGTAAAATTATTTTTCTGTTCCTACCTATTTTCACACTTTTTTTAGAACTTTCCTCTAATAATTATTTATTTTAGAGTACTGTTACTCCAAGATTATCTCCTCCCTCCCAATCAACATCCACGTGTCCAACATCGACAGAAGAACCTCCAGTAATATTTTATTGGCAGTTAATAAATTTTAATTATATTTTTTTAAATTGTAGAATCCTGATTAAGTCACTCAACAATTCCTTCTGAACCTGAGTCCTTATATAATGAATCCCAAACATTAAGTTCCAATACTGATCTTCGTCTTGATGATATATCAAAACTTAAACTTGAAATCAAAAAACTGAAAATGAAAGTAAACCGTTTGGACAAACAGAACAAACTGAAAAATCAACAGCTACAAAAACTGCAATTAAAAATTGACAATCAAACGAATCAAGCCCGTATATTCGAAAAAATTGAAGCTGATGCCAAGAATAACGACCCAAAAGCCACATTTCTATTAGACCAAATATTAAATTACAACAAACAAAAATCTAGATGGTCAGAAGTAACTGTAAGATCATGTATTGCTTGGAGGATTTCATCCCCAAAGGGATACAACTATGGTAAAGCTTCTATATTGAAATTACCTAGTCGAAGTACTTTAGAACGGTATATAGGAAATGGACAAGATGTTACAGGACTTATAGAGGCACGCTTGAAAGCAGAAGCCGAAGTGCTACAACCCGTTGAAAGGATTTGTAGTTTAATTGTTGACGACATGTCCATCAAGGAGAAACTGTGTTACAGCCGCACAGAAGACAAATTCTATGGGTTAGAAACTACCAATGAGAGTAGTCAAACAATTGGAAAAAAACCAACGTTGGCCAACAAAATGTTATGTTACGTTGTTCACGGCATGACTACTAAGTACACGATACCCGCCGGATATTTCTTCCATCGAACTCTAAAAAACATAGATTTTGTGAATTTGACGTTAAAAGTAATGAAACTTTTACATAATTGTGGATTTACAGTTTTAAGAATTGTGACAGATAACCATAAGTCAAATGTGGCCCTTTTCAAATCTCTGTCATCAAGTAATAATTTAATGACTCATATTCAACATCCAATAGAACCAACAATACCATTATTTATGAGCTTTGATTACTGTCATATTATTAAAAATTTGAGGAACATATTTTTGGACCATGACATGCATTCTGGTAACGGTATTATTTCTGCACGATTTTTAAAGAAAATATATGATATGCAACACAAATTAATTGTTAAACCGGTAAAGTTTTTGACCAGGAAGCATATTTGCCCAACCAATTTAGAAAAGATGAACGTCCGTCGTGCTGTGCAAGTATTTTCCATAGAAGTAAGAGCAGCAATAGAGTATTTGGGAAAATATAACAATCCAGGTTTTGTTGATGTTGAAGAGACTCTAAAGTTTATGGAAATGATGCACACATTTTTTAAAATTCATGATGTCAATGACAAAACTCAGCACATCCGGCAAGCAAATGAAAATAGTGCTCCATATACAGATATTAATGATGAACGCCTTCTCTGGATGTTAAAAACTTTACCTGCTTATATGGATTCCATTCAACTATCTTCAAAGGCAAATAAGATGACGGGATTGACTAAAGAGACTGCAGAAGCAGTAAAATTCACTGCCAAAAGCACTGCAGAATGTATCAAGTATTTACTCGAAGAGAGTGGCTTTTTTTATGTTTTAACGCGAGCATTTAGCTCAGATGCAGTTGAATCAATGTTTAGCAATGTCCGATTATGCGGTGGTTCTCAGGACGCTACTGATGCCAGGGCTGCACACTATGCTATTAAAAGAATAATTAAATCAGGTTTAGTAACAACTTCTGAATCAGCAAATGTATATTCTAACTGTAATCACTTAAGTAAAATTGGTCAAATTCAGTCTTCTGAAAAATCTACAACAGAAACAAATATACATATACCTGACAATATCATTGAAAAAATTAGTGACCTTCATAAATTAACGTTCAGTAATACTATTTTCTCAGATATCAATTCTGCATCAGTTGCGTTTTTATCTGGATATATTTGTAGAACAATCGAAGAAAGGTTAGAGTGCAAAAATTGTTTAGATTCACTACTAACCACCGCAAAATCTACCCCGTTGCTTGACTTGATATATCTGCAAGACAGAGGAAAATTAAAATATCCCACAAGATCATTCACGAATTTTATAAATAAAATTATAAAAATTACATTTGATATTTTGGAACACATACCAGTAAATCATCATCCAAGAACTGTGGTGGAGTCTTTGTTATTGGAGCCAATTGCCAGTTCATCTTTTCTGCCTTGTGAAGATAAAAACCACAAAGTAATGGTTGCAAACTTAATATTATCTAAAGTGTTGAAACCAATTTTTGCAAATTTTGGTTATACAAGAACTGAAAATGTTGCATTGTTTAGTAATTTGACCCATAAACCCCATTCAAGAAAAGTATTAAAATTATAAACATACTTGTCTGTTTTTTATATTCTTCTAGCTCTAATTATAGAGTGAAATTTTACAAAAGGCACTTCTCGATTTTGGACAAACCATTTGCACACAATTCTTCTACAGCACCCCCTAATCACGTTCCTCACCTTCAAATGTTTCCTTTTGCTACAAAAAAAATTGTTAAATTTCCCAATTCATACTCTTTAACGGGAAGCTGTTTCCAATTTAACCTAACTTTTTATAGTCACCAACACGCGTGGAGTAATGTTGGGAACACAAGAAAACAGTTGTACAACTTTTGAAGGTGAGGTACGTGAACAGGGGGTGATGTAGAATTGCTTTGGGGAAACAGTTGATGGGAAATCGAGAAGTGCCTTTTGCAAAATTTCACCTTTGCTAGTCCTTTTTGTTGCAATTTTCAACCATTTAACACCATCGAGAGTTTACGATTTATGATTCAACGTTTAACCGTTTAATAAATTGTTCAAAACATTTAACCTAACCCGATTTAACCTATTTATAAACCTTCAAATTTGAAGTTTGTTTGACAATTGTCAAGGTCAAAAGCGCCCCTCCAGTGCTGCCCTCACGCCCTGACGGCAAAATTTTTTCAATGCATTTTTGTGGAAATGAACAGGCAGGATATAATACAGCCGGCAGTGGTTTACCCAATTTGACAACTAATTTTTGTGTGTGTAAACTAAGGATAGTATTAGTGTATAAATTTTATTTGAAGCAACTTTTTTTATTTGTACATTTGCAATGTGCATTTGAACTTTGTGCACTATAGTGGACATTGTGACTGTGCTTCTACAAATAAAGGTAAAAACACAACCCAACTTTTATTAAAATTTATTAATTACAACGTTATTTTTTGCTTAAAAATATTTAGAATGGCTGGTAAAAAAGCACTAAGTCATGCAGAACTTGTAGAGTTGATTGAAGGTGACTTGTCGGACCTTGAATGCCTAAGTGATGACCAGTCAGATGGTTGGGAAAGTGAAGGCCCTGTGCCCCCAGATGGTATATGAACTTTGTTTTTTTTATCAAAAATCTTTCTCATAACTTAAATCTAATGTAGAAAATTTGGTTGTTTTTCAATCATCAGGAAGCTCGGAAGAAGACAATAATGAAACTCCTTTTTTTGAACATCGAACAGTACAGCCTCAACCTACCATTTTACAAGAATTATCGAAAAAACAAAGAATAGCAAACTTTATGCAAACACATGATTTAACATCAAAGAAAGAAAAAAAAAAAAAGAAATTTTAGATCTAATCCATTTTAGAGCATATGTCGCTGAAAGTTTGATATATGCAAACAAAACGCCAAAAAAACGAGGAAGACCCTCTTTATCTCAAAGCACGTCTCCGACATCGTCACCAAGACCTTCGTCAAGTCTATCTTCAAGAGATTCACTTCAACATACGTTACCTCCAAAAAAAATTGTAAAAAAAGAACACGTACCCGTGATTGAAGTACGCCAGGATAATATTGGCCATTTGCCAGATATGGATCAAAAGAGTTTTGCTTCTCGGTGTAAATATCCTAATTGCAAACGGAAAACGTATGTATTTTGTGTTAAATGTACGGTACATTTATGTATACAAAAAAATCAGAATTGTTTTAAATTGTATCATGAAAAGTAATGTTTGAGTTTAAATAAAACACCAATGTTTGACTGATGTGTTACTACAATTGAGTCACAATGTCCACTACAGTGGACATGATTTTTTTCAAAAAGTATGACAAAAAGTCACTTGATATTTACATGAAAAATCTTTAAAAAAATAATACATCGTCTGTGCAAAAAAAAAAAATTTTATATCAACTAATAAAAATGCATGACTGAAAGGGTTAAATCAAAATGACTTAGATGATCTAGTCAGAGGTTTAGGTCTTACTAAATAAATGAAAATCGGAGCTCTTAGCGTCGCGATTAAAAGAATGGAATCTTTTGCAGCCGACCGTTACGATAACGTCTTACAGAAAAGGACACCTAAATTTTTGATCTTTTTATGCAACTTCTAACAACAATCTCTGTTACTGTACAGACGTAACTGGTTTGTTTGAAAATATAGGTATTTCCCGTGTCCCTGAACAATGGAGACTTTTTATTGACAGTTCTACACACAGTCTGAAAGCTGTGTTATTACACAATTCAAACGAATTACCCCTTCAATTCCGGTGGCTTATTCTATTCACTTAAAAGAAACATATGAAAATGTTAAAACTGTGTTAGAAAAAATTAAATACGTTGAATACAACTGGTACATGTGCGGTGAGTTTAACATGATAGGATTTTTAGTTGGATTACAAGGGGGTTACACTAAATTTTCTTGTTACTTGTGTCTTTGGTACAGTTGGGCCGACAGTGAACAATGCACTCGGAAAGAATGGCCAGCAAGAACTGATGTTCCCGGACAATATAATATTGTTCAAAAATTTCTTCAAATTTGGTACCTACTTATTGTTATAGAACACCGCATACAGTGATTTTCTTTTTTCATGTTATTTTTCTGGATTCATAATTTCGTAACAATAGCACTGGGTACTTTCATTTTTCAAGGTTCACATTTTATTTTAGTTTTCAGGGTTCATACTTAATAGGAAAAAGTTAAGATTCCTTTTGATGATTTCCTCCTTAATATTAATTTTCTCGAACCGTCTTGTATGGGAATACAGTACTCCTTACTCATATTTGCAAAATATTAACTTTCACAATCTGACTTTTTAAACTATTTCATCAAAACTTCTTGAAATACTGGAAACCAGTACTTTGTGAATCTTGATACACACTCTTGCAATGACTTTGGTGTGGGCTGACAGATTGGCATTTTAGTGCAAGCGGAACCATATGCGTTTTCAGCACACTTAATTATTAAATTACCATAGTACATAGACTGGTCATTGTTTGCATCATAGCTTGTATTTTTGTAAGACTGAAGGCATTATGCCCGTATGGGAACATACTGAAATATTATTAAAATGAGCTTTGTTCTTCAAGTTTACATCTGCAGTAAGCAAAATCATATTCTCATATTTTTCTGACTCCTGCAAACAACATGGAATGATTGACTTTTTCCAACACTTTTTTGTTCATTTACTTCACTCAGTGTTTGACCCTGCATTCTATCATCTTTGCTGGCCATGGTTTTTTCTACATGTCTAGGGAGAAGGTGGGAATACCGGTCGCCTAATTTCTTCTGTGTAACACAACATTTAGCGAAAGTAAAGTCACTAGATAGAAGATTATTTGAGATCGACTCTAATGATGTCATCAAGTTGTGTCCAAGATTAAAAGATAATGTACTGAATCCGAGTCATTTTGAATGAATGTACGTACGTTTAAGTGCTGCATTAATAAACAATGACGTAGCCGCAGGACTTTTATATTGTATAGCGACAAATAAAATTCAAGACAAGCACCGAACAACTGCATGGTTTTTGAAAACAACGCACCAGTTGTTATGGGGGATTAGCTTTATCCTTAAACAACAAAGAAAACTACAACGAAAATATTGCATTTTTAAAATCTTTCAAACCGACATTATTTTAGCAACGCAAACTGCGTTGGATTTCCAAGAAATTTATTTGGAAAAAAACTTTAAATACCTCTTCTTAGGCCGCTTGACCCAAGATGCTTTGGATAACGCAATTTCGTCATTAAGGTCAAGGCAGTCGGTACCTAACGCTCATTTTTTAAGAGTTTCTCTACGACTAGTTTGTTTGTCGCAATTCGAAACCAATTTAAAGCGGTCCGCTTACGAAGATCATTCACACCATCTGATTAATACTGTAAAGACTACGAACTGGCAAATAAGAGCACAGACGAGGGGTTTATATTAGAATTGGATGAAGATGCATTTGTGTCAAATTTCACTTTAAGGGACCATCTGAAAGCATCTATATTTTATTTACTTGGAAGCATTATTTTTAAAATGGAATGCAACCGCAAGACCTCCGAGGCGTGCCTTTCTAGTGTTATCACGAATTCTAGTGATGTTACGGAATTGAATATGTTTACGAAATTCAAGGAATACAAAGAAAACAATAATTTAATGTATCCCTGTGGAGCTGTATATAATTGCATATATAATGTAGAAATAGAATTTAGATCATTTGAAAATGATATTATAAAAAATAATCTTAGTTTTATCAATTTTTTCACGTTAATTTCTACAAAGTATCCTTTGTTAGGAGACATTCCATTGTGTCACAATATTCTGGAAAAAATTGTTAAATTGTACATAAAAAGTAGATTATACTTAAAAATATATCGAAGAAGTTTACCAAAATGGGTGACTCAATGAGCAGTAGGTACCAATTGTTGGTAATGCAGGTGATACTATGGTTTTAATATTTCATTTGACAGATGCAAGGTAAATATATATAAACAAAAAACTCAGAGAGGTTCCTGGTCTGAGGAAAACCTAAAAGCGGCATTACTGGAAATTGATAATGGTCCCCCTTTAAGGACGGTTTCAAGACGTTTTGGAATACCTAGATCAACTACGGAATGACCCCATTTGAAATAAAATAATGTGCCTTTAGATATGCCATCAGAAACAATATTAATTTTTTGAATGAAGCCCCGGGCAGAGCATGGTTAGAGGGTTTTCTTAAAAGAAATTCTCAAATTTCATTGCGAAGACCTGAAGGTATCAGCCTCAATCGAATAAAAGCTTTCAACAAAGATGCAGTGTCAATTTTTTTTAAGAATTTAAATAAAGTTATGGAAAATTACCATTTCTCTGCAGCACAAATATTTAATGCAGATGAGACAGGTATCACAACCGAGCAAAATTAATGCGTAAAAGGACCAAACAAGAGTTGGCTATGCTGCCAGTTGTGGAAAGGGCAAAAAGGAATGTATGTTCCGCCTATGTTTATATTTGCTCGAAAAAGAATATGTATCTCCTTAACAAAAAAAAAAAATGGCCCACCAGAAGGAATGTATTGTTGCTCTGATAACGGTTGGATCAACGAGACATTGTTTCTTGACTGGTTAAATCATTTTAAGACTTTTGTTAAAGTTTCGAAAGAGGATTCAGTTCTTTTGATTTTAGACAACCACGTAAGCCACTACAATTATTGCAAAGAAAACGCCATAGTCTTGCTAACTATTCCGCCACACACCTCTCATGGGATTTAGCCTTTAAACGTCTCGTTCTATGGCCCATTAAAAACTGCATATCACAATGAATGTGATAAATATTTAAAGAATCATCCGAGAGAAAAAATAACTCCCAACGAAGTGGCAGACATTTTTAATAAAGCCTTTGCTAGAGTGACTACTCTGGAGAAGGTACAGGAAGGCTTTCAAACTACCGGAATCTTTCCTGTAGATGATGACGTTTTTACAAATGAAGATTTTTTGCCTGCAAAAAATATTACAGTTTGTATTGACACTTCTGGACCTCATCAAAATTGAGAGGATTTACAGAGACGACTAACTGATCCCATTCAACCAAGTTCAAGCTTGCAAATTGAGTTATTACAAGAAGAAACCACTCCAGAACCTAGCCTGTCAGAAAAAGTGTCCTCCGAAATAGCACCCATTCTTTCTACGTCTTCTAGTTCATCCGCTCCAAAAAGAGGAACTGGCAGGAAAGAGCGTTCAGAGATTGTCACTTCAACCCAATGAAAGGTGTGTTAGAAGAAAAAGA